CTTGACTCACCCTAGTATCCTACCCTAGCATCCGCAGCGAGCAAGACTGTACAGCGCGTGCGCATTGGAAGGCATACTATACGGTTGTCATTTGTACGGAGACACCATCCATTGTGCCTCTCTGACCGATCCTTGTCAGCAGTGTATTAGAAAGTAGGATAGCACTAACGAAAAAGCGACAGTGGCTAGGGTGCTGTCTCCGCCCATCGGGTAGTTCGCCTTTACCCACCTCCGGTTCTGGTGGGAAGTGTATGAATTACAAATAGCAAAGAGGGTTTCGACTGCAGTATCAATCTTACCAGAATCTTCTTTTACCTTGACGCGGCAAGGTTTCTGTGTTCCATTTATGTACAGCTTATGTTTGAAGCTTCCAAAATCTTGTTTCAGAATACGCTTACAATGAAAAATCGAAATGTACGAAAAGGACGGCTATTCGGAACTCCGCCTTATCCAAAACCACAACTGGGGAAGCATTTCAGGTATAACAAATTTTCTAGTGAACTTGGATCAGTTGTGTGAAGCATTGACTCTTCAGAAACGTGCAAGTATCGCTGAACTTTCCGCGATTCTACATCACATACTGGATGTCGCATTCGTCTGATTACGGGTTCCGGGTTATATCGGATGGTCTGAATTTGCTCGCTTCGATGAAGCTGACTGTACAGGCTGAAGCAGAATCGGTACCTAGTTTTGCTCCTGTTTTCTATTGTGCAGTCCTATTCGCTGCGGATTCTGGGACTTGTCAGGGAGCCGTATTTGTCGCGGTGCCAACCCGTTGTCCTGTAAATGTGGAAGCGTGCAAGCGACAGCAGTTGGTGGAAAACAGGCTGGAGCTGCGTCAAACCCAGCCTCCTGGTATGCCCCAGCATCCGCAGCAAACGAGGCTGTACACGCTTTCCACGAATTCAAAATAAGCTTTCAAGGGTATCACACGCCGTCGAAGTTACGTATGGATACCTCAGCATGTATCGGCCACTCTGTGGGGAACTCAGGTCTCTTTCTTTTTTGTTCAATCGTTTGTTGTCTTTTCGTTCCTTCGCTAGTATGCTAAGCCCTTTTCATACTTTATGTAGAGTTTGCCCTGAAAGAATCCGCGATTCGGGATGCCCTGAAACATCTGATTGGGTATTTCCAAAAACTCTGGTTCCGCTGAACCTAACTCGAAAGAAAGCGTGTTTATTAGTCCGACGAGTGTCGGGGGCATGTGCTGTTCACTAGTGGGCGGCGTTTTCTGAACTTTTTTCTCCAGTTGTCCTGGATCACGCATTCTCCGATCGATACTTATTCCTTTCTTTGCCACCGATACCCAAAATCACAGATTCGGCGCTGTTTGTCGACGGGGGGGGGGGCATTTTGTATTATCATTGCTTCCCTAGTTCCGGTTTACAAATCTCACTCTGGTAAAACTTGTGAACTCTTGTGAAGCTGAAGTAAGATCGTCTAGCCACTATCCTAAAACGTGTCAACTCGAGAAACGGCTACCTAGATGGGTCGACACATCTATGGAAAGCAAAATGCCCCCCGTCGACAAACTGCGCCCACAGATTCTCTCAGGTCGCGGATTCTCCACATTCGCAAAGTATGAGCATGGACTAACCGTGCAACAAAGTAGGCTCTCGTGACTCAGCATTGAACCAGTGTTTATTTGATCAAATGGTTTAGGTGCACGTCTACAGCAACGGTCACACTCCTTCTGTTGACGGCCTATCGTCTAGCGACGAAGAAACGTTTTTGTTGGGTCTTGACTCGCGAGTGTCTTACGTTCGAGAGAATAACCGTGGACGAGATGCACCCCAACATAGATTGACAGCGCATGACCTAAAGGTCTGTCAACGGTTTTGCCATTATTTTCATAACGTTTCAGCTGTCCTCTCTTCCCTACTGTCCTGTAAATATGGTGAAGGAGACGACGAGTGTGAGATATTTAGGCCTCATGGACAGCGCAGAATCGCGATGCTTGTATATCAATAGCAGATGGAGTACATCGTGCCCATATGCTTCGCAGAATTCTCAGCAATGATGCTTTGAAGATCCTAAAAGTGACCTTGATTTTTTGGAGATATTTCTCTCTGTTTTGACTATTAAATTTATCACATATATTTGCAGCTGCACATGGAAGAGGAGGCCCAGTCGTCTCCTTCGGATGTTCCACGAACTGATGATTCGACACCTAAGGGTGACCGTGGTCATCGTCCGTGGCTTACAGTATGTCTGACCATAACCAGTCGCTGCTCAATCAATTGATTGGAGAAGCAAGCACGAAACTTGTAGCTCACTGTGAACAGGTGAGTTCACTGTAGGTTTCCGAAATACAGGAATTTCGCACGGAATTCTCGCACAACGATCCGATTGTGGTGGGAAAAGTAGGTATGAATTGAGCCTTCCTCATTCCGAAGGTCTAAAAGCAACGTTTAATGGCGAAAGTGCTTTGGTGACCATAGCCTACTCATACCCGTTGGCTCCGGCCAGCGCCATTCTGGACCAGCACGCCTTCCATAGGGGTCGTTTAGTTGGCACCAGACTTCTGCTGCCACATCGGCTGCACCTCCCTGCAAACCATTGTGTGGACCAATTAGCATAAAGATCGCGGCTTCGAATGGGAGTGGATTGCTGCATGGCTCATCCCAAAGAAGGTAGATCAGTGCTGAAAACTCTATTTTTTTTCCTGAAAGGCAGTGCGCACTGGAACGACCTATGGTAGAATTTCCATCATGGTCCACCACAACAACGAGTCGGGGTTCCGTGGGAGACGGTAAAGAGGATCGTAATTCGCCGCACCGCCACGCGCGGCGATGGGCGCGGCGTTTTCATAACTCGTTTTAACCTGTCGAATGGAGCACCGGACTTCATGTAGACCCCGTCATCGTAGACAGTCATTACTGTTTTCGGTCCTTAATTGCATGTTGTCGCCATCTACTACCTGGAACCATCGTCCTTTGCAGACGAGACGTCGCACGCGACGCCCAGCAGCGCGGCGAATTACGATCCTCTTGTCACATACCCGGGTTCCATATTGAATTCCGGAAGTTCGTAAGAGTGTCTGCTGGTAAAATAACTGGAGGGTCTCGATTTCAAATTCCAACCGATTATTGATTTCCTTTTCGCGAAACGGGAAGGAAACGTATAGTACTGAGATGCAGTCCAGTTCCTGCGAATGAGGAGCTTGGGATAGCGCTTCCCTGCTGAACTCGAGAACTTCCTGGTGGAACACCTCTGCAATATGCAGGCTCGCTTCGTTACTTTCTAGAGTTGCCTAGTCGAAGACTTGCAAGCGTGCAACTATGCAGGTCACTCGAAATTCAAGGGGAAGCAATTGGAAGCGAGTGTCCTTCAAATCCACTAGTACCGGAACAGAGTTTTTCCATCATCTCATTTCTTCACCTTTGAGCGGATATGCTACAAGACAATAGTAACTTGCCGCGCTGGTGGCCATGGGAGAGGGAGAGGTTACAGGGCTGTTGTCAACCGGACATGCTCTCGCTGCGAGGGTCCAGAGGTATTTTCTCATCGCATCTACTAGCCCAGTAGTTGAAGGGAGAAGGTAAGAAGGAGGGAACAGAGAAGGAAGGAAGGAAAAGAAGGAGGAAAAAAGGAAAGAGAAGAGAGGCTCCGCGGTTGACAAGTGCCCTGAGACGCATGGGAGACGGACAAGAGAATCGTTATTCGCCGCTTCGTCGCGCGCGGCAGTGGGAGCTGTACACTTTCGCTTGGAGCATCGGGTATCGTGTAGACAAGGACATGGTAGACAGTTATGTCTATTTTTGGTCATGAGTTGCCTATTCTCGACCAGTGACCACCGACTGCGCCCGCTAGTGACGACTTGAAATCGTCGTCACTAGCGGGCGCGACGTCGCACGCGACCCCCGACGCGACGAATTACGATTCTCTTGCCACATACCCGATGCCGGGGCGACTGACGCCGTGCCCAACAGACGAGTCGTCCTTCCTGGCCATTAGTGTGAATGAAACGGGAATTTTTGATACCACCCTCCAGTTTTGTCTCCACTTGAATTGATACGAGTTTCGCTGCTACAATTTTGAAACTGATACACATCGAGAATTTGACGCGCATCATTGCACGGCACGTCGCGCGCGACTACGCGAAAAATCGCGACGGTCTTGTCCACCTCCCCCTTTATGAGCCGACTTTGTCGGTATAGGGCATGTTCACATGTATAACCCAACACTCGTAGCCAGTTGCGATAATTGAAGAAGCCACGCTGGTCCTTGACGTAGTTTGGACCATGTGATGCACCTGCATATGTCAAGCCCACCATACGATAACCAAGATCCTGGCCACGGTCGACATTAACTTTTCGGTCGGGCCCAGGTGTCGTCAGTAGTCCGCAAGTGGGGATGTTCGCAAGGTGGTGATCGCTCCCAACTCTCCGTGAGAGCGAGATGCAGCGCTATTATTTTAACCGCTCATCGCGCTAAGAAATGTATCACATATGGAAAGGAAAATGCCCTCTGTTTCAAAGGTGATTTACCCACTTTCAGGCCGGGGATCTTCCAACAGATTCGTTACTCGGAGCCTTGCAATGTACAATGGACGATGTTAGGAGCATTAATTGGCAGAGTGAGTCACTGGTTCGGACTGGAACTTTTTTCTGTATTTTTTTAAGATAATGCGTTGTTGATTTTTCAGTCGACTTACTGAATAGTCAAGTTGTACTGAAAGGTTGTGAGCGAGCCGGATTTGTCTTGCTGACAGCAGCTCGGGCCAGTGTGACACAGAAGGTGGGGGACTTGAAAATTTACTAACAATATTTTAAGTTCAATTCAAATTTTAAGTATTTTAATTACTAGTAAAATATTTTATTGACGTTCACATACATTTTAGGTGCATCGATGTGTATGGCGAAACGGGCAATTGTTAGGGAAGAAGTCATGGTCTTCAATAATATCTGGTATGCAGTATTTCGCTCCTATATCCATTGTCAACGGGCGCACTGTGGAGTCGTTCAGATGGTTAACCAGAGAGGTAATGCATTTGTTAGCTCCTCGATAACCAATTTCCACATTCTAAAAATGCTTTCTTACGATAACATTTGGAACAGTCCCCAGTCAGGTTGCTAAAAAGCGGCGGCACGCGTAGTGTATTCACTCCGAGCGATAGGGG